CGTTGCGTTCCCAGTGAATGGCCAGAATCTATAATTGTATGGGGAAATGACAACCACGATAAAAGAAGTCATGAAGAAATTAGGTACTTATCCAATTGAACGTATAGGTAATTTCATTCTAATCAGGAGTCTCAAGGTAAGTGGAGCTATACAGCTAGCAGAGCAAAAAGACTACGTGCTTACCCTGGATAACGGCATGCTTCTAAAAGACCCCAAGTTCCCAGATGATGTCTTTAAACAATATAAATCAACCGCTGCAAATTACTCACAAAAATTAGCAAATGCTGCAAATTACTCACAAAATACAGCAATTCTCGAAGCCCACATTACGATAGCCCTCATGACTCAAAAGATGAATATGATAAGTACTTGGGAACAGATGTGTTTTATCCAAACGGAGATCTCTCGCATACATCGATGGATGATTGCCCAGTTTCCTACTACATCAGCAGAGTGGGTGCACCAATCCCAAGGAGTAACTGTGGAATCAGCTGGAGATGCTTTACTATTATCGGAATGCATTAACTACACGACTTACGCCATACAGTATAATCGGAAGATTGGCAATTTTTGTTTTGAACATTTTCCAATTACCTTGCCAAGTTCAAACATAACTTATTTTCTAGAGGTTAGTAATCGAAAATTAATAAGGACAAGTCCCCGTATTCCTTGTAAACTTAGACCAAAGCACACGTACTTACAGGACCCTAAATTAAATATCATGTACGAAATATCGGCATACGGACGTGTTAAAATTGTGGAGACCCAGATGGACCACGTGCTTTCCTCGCCAAACAACCCGATTCCCCGTATTCGAGGATACAACAAAGATTTTCTTGTCGAGAAACCTCAACGATTATCACCGTACACAGTCTTACAATTAATCTCAGGGTCACACGAAACATTGCAGTCACTTAAAACTATAAGTGACACCAACGGTGGTGATGTCTTAACTGGTATTGGCACAGCTTTAGGAAGTGTTTTACATGCCACCGCAAGTGGAGGAAGCCAGATCATTAAAGCCTTTGGGGTGCTATAAAGGATTCATTGAATGGAGTTTCAGACTTAGATGAGAAGCTAGTCCGGTCAATTGGAGACGCTTCCTCATCGGTGTTAACAGCCGCCGGTGGGGCTGTGAAAGATGTTGGAGAAGGTGCAGGATCCTCCTTTCAGAAATTCCTTGGTGGTATAAGCGGATCCATTCTGTGGGCAGCAATACTTTTAATAGTAATATATTTAATCTTGAACAAGCCTAATTTAAATTATTCCCTGTCTTGCTTAAGATGTTTTCAAACACCATTGGTTAATGACACTGTAGTACAGCCACGCCAGGATCAGTCCACGACAATGTCTCCTAGAGTAAAAGGACGTCACCCACGTAATTGCTCAGCTTGTAAGGTAGTTCATAGGGAGTAAAAAGAATACCGGTGAACGGTAATGGCAGGAATTAAATCGTGTATAATTCCTGGATGGAGATGTGAGACGCCTCCAACCACCACGAGTTTCCTGAAAAATACAATTTTTCTTGCGCTGTATTGCTGTTTGCAACAATGCTGTTTAAAAAAAAAATTTTACGATAATTACAATGAACTTTTATAGTGCTGTTTGGAACAAACGATGAGCTTGATGTGCAATGATGCTGTTTTCAATAATTTTAATGATGCTGTTTCGCAATGATTTTTATGATGATATTTTATTACGATGAATTTTTCAGTTGCTGATGTGCAATAATGCTGTTTCGCAATGATTTTTATGATGCTGTTTTATTACGATGAATTTTTATGTTGCTGATGTGCAATGATGCTGTTTCGCAATGATTTTTATGATGCTGTTTTATTACGATGAATTTTTATGTTGCTGATGTGCAATGGTGCTGTTTCGCAATGATTTTTATGATGATATTTTATTACGATGAATTTTTAAATTGCTAATGCTGCCTTCGATGATTTTTATGATGCTATTCTAAGATGAATTTTTAAGTTGCTGATGTGCAATGATGCTGTTTCGTTTTCCGAGCTGTTGATTTTCCTTAACAAGATATTGGCGATTACCCGTTTGCTACTCACTTGAAATTATACTATTGTTGCTGTTTTGATGACACTTTTAAGTCCGAGGACGGACTTTTCGTTCGTCGTGAGTAATGTTACGAAGGTTACTAACCATTCAAGCGGAACGCTTGGGTTAGGTAAACCGTGAAGAAGATTTAACATAAACAATATAAACTAAACAATTCGTGCAAGAACCAAAACGCGTCTAGCGTCTGTGGAAATTATATAAAAACGCGAAGAAGACGAGATATGATATATATATATGGATATGGATAATAGTAGAAAGACGAAAAGAAGAGAGAAGAACGAGAAGATAGTTGGTTGAAGACGATAAGTCCAGTGAGCAGTTTAATAGAAGTTATTGGTCGTTTATAAGTCGGACAATACTTGGGTGTTGGCAACTAATACTATTCGTTTATTTTTATTTTATCAATTATTTAGTAATTATTTTAATTTTTAAAATAAACAATTGAGTAACGTTGTTTTTGCGTAATATATTACGTAACAAGTGACTGGTATGACGTTCTTTTTCAAGTCAATATTGTTAGAAAACTCTTCAAGAAAAAGACATGGACATCACTCAATGTGCAAAGTTATTGAAAAGCTGTTGTTCATTTTTAGAAAACTATAGAAAATGTGGTTTTAAAGATGCAATTATAAAAGCAAAGGATTTAGCTATAGAATTACAAGTGTTACACTTAATTACACTTAAAAGAATAATACGAGTGTAAAGAAGTGTTAAAAGAATAGTGTTAAAAGTGTTAAAAGAGTGTTAAAAGTGTTAAAAGTGTTAAAAGAGTGTTAAAAGTGTTAAAAGAGTGTTAAAAGAATAACACCGAATTACACTTAAAAGAATAATACGAGTGAAACGCCATTTTGACGAGCCAGCCTAAGATGGGATTTACTTATTTTCTCCTGAAAAAAAATTAGAAATCGATTTCTTTAATCCTCTTTTAGACACATCTTTAATTTCAATGAGAGAAAGATTTATACAGTTGGACAATTATTCCGAAGTTTGGGGTTTTTTGTATAATGTCGATAGTTTGCAAAAAAGAGAAGAAATTCTAAAATCATGTTTAGCTCTTCAAAGTAAACTTACCGTAAATCTAAAATCAGACATTAATGGTATTCTCCTTTGCGATGAACTGATGAGCATTAAACTTTTTCTTTCTGAAAATGGTCAAGGATAAAATTACTCCTATTATTGTTTTAAACTTTATAAAACAGCACAAAATGCAAAATTTGTATCCAAACACATGGATTGCAATGTGAATTTTGCTAACAATACCTGTCACTGTAGCGAGTGGAGAAAGAAGCTTTTCCAAAATGAAACTAATAAAAACCTATCTGCGGTCAACAATGTCGAAGGATAGACTTTCAAGTTTAGGAATCCTATCGATTGAAAAGAATATTGCTGAAAACATGTTTGCCACCACAGATTTATTCTGCACTGGAAGATTTATGCTTGCCTACATACCCAGAAGATGACTCAGTTACCTACGAAGACATTGAAGAAAATATCATGAAGCTTTTTAAACCGAAGTCATCGTTAATACTATGCTTTGAATTTGCAACTATAAAAAAAGCAAGTAACGAAAGTGTGACGGAATTTTCACGACGAATCGCAAGAGCTGCTGAAGGATACAAATTCACGGATAGAGATGATCGAATGCGCGACCAATTCATCACGGGTTTTGACAATGGCGTTACAATCAAACGATTATTACTGGAATCTGAAGAACTAACGTTTGCAAAGGCTGTGGAAATTGCTGCTACCCTTGAACGAGTAACCCAGGAAGCCCAACAATTAGATGGTTCCGATAATGTAAAAATTGCGGCAACATCGTTACTTCCGCGGACATCTAGTGTGTCCGACGCGAACAAATTTACATGTTTTAATTGTGGGAAACTTGGACATTTTGCAGGGACTGCGAAGCAAAATGCAAGACTTGTTCACACGATCATCAAGCTAAAGACTGCTTCAAACGATTGCAAAGTTTAAAAGGAAACGGGAGAATTTGGAAATAATGGCATCCAGTATTCTCCCAGAAACGACGTTGCCATCATTAAATGTGAAAATAAATGGAATGCTCCGAACAGCATTAATTGATTCTGGATGCTCCATCACTGTGATTCATGCTAAATCCACGCATGGTCTTGTTTTAAAAAGTCAAAAACGTATCACAACTTTGGGAGGAGCTGTGCATGTGCTGGGTGAAACGGTAATCAAATTGGAAATTGATGGAATACACCGGATTATTAATTCTCTGGTTGTAAAAGAAAAACCATTCGGGTTTGATTTGATTTTTGGAATGAATGCAATTGAGAAATTTGGAGGAGTCATCATTTATGGTAATAAAAACCGTACTGTCCGAATGTTAGCATGTGACACAGCAAAATGTGGTGCCGTTAGTTCAACGATAAAAAGCAAAAACGAAATAAACGAAATAAAATGTGATGTCAAAAATACAAATAAAGAAAAGAAAAGAAACGTAATAAAACATCAGGACTTCACAGCAAATTTTGATGGGAAAAAGTGGACGGCATCATGAAACTGGAATAAAGAGCCTGTAATTGCTAATAACATTTGTGAATACAAGAAGTACGAACGTAGTTACCGCAAAGAAATGAATGGATTAATTCTGGCATTCTTGTACCATATAACGAACTAACGTTGGGACCACCTAAAGTATTGATACCGCTAATGTGCGTAGTGGAAGAAAATAAGGACAAAAAGGTACGTCCAGTGGGAGATTTTTGAGCTCTCAACGATTTTGTAAATTGTCATACAGCGAATGCGGACGTTTGTCAAGAAAAACTGCATTGTTGGAGAAAAATAAAAAATGCAAAATTCTTGATCATAAAAAAGCCTACCTCTAAATTCATATTGATAAAAGACTCTGGCCATATCAAACGGTGATTATAAATGGAAAACGCTATTGTTTTACTAGAATGTGTTTTGGCATTAACGTGGCTCCAACAATAATGACCACGATTCTTCGGCATGTGCTCAATTTAAATCCAACTGTAAAGAAAGCATGTGATAACTACATTGATGATATATTTGTGGATGAAAGTGTGGAAACTGCGGAAAATGTAGCGAAGCATCTGCATAAATTCAGGTTACAATGTAAACCTCCACAAAATCTTGAACAAGGACGTGTCTTCGGATTGAGAGTCGAAAGAAATAAAAATGGGGAACTGATATGGAAACGAGACAATGTGGTACAGTTTGAACCTTTAAATGCAGTCACACGATCGCAGCTTTTTAGCAAGTTAGGTAAACTCATTGGACATTACCCAGTGGGAGGAAGTTTGCGTTTACAAGCTTCATACATCAAATGTTTAGCTAGAAATATACCTTAGTGTGATTGTAAAGAAAAACTGAAAGATTTGCTTCACCGTGTGAAAAAGGAGGATCCAGTTGGTGGAAAATGGTTGGTACCAGTGAATGGAAAAGCTGAGCTTTATCGTGATGCATCATCCATAGGACTTGGGGTAGTTCTGCTCATTGGTGGAGTAGTTGTTAAAGACGCAGCATGGCTATGGCGAGCAAGTGACACACACCATATCAATATAAGTGAACTGGATTCGATACTTCGTGGACTAAACTTAGCTAGTAAGTGGGACATAAAAGAGTTAACAATATACAGTGATAGCAAGAGCACCGTAGGATGGTTAAACGCAGTTTTGAAGGAAAAGTATCGCGTAAAAACTCGTGGAGTTTCTCAGTTGTTAGTACAAAGACGGTTAAATACTATTAAGGAAGTGGCAAAAGGTTTCCAGATTGTAGCACAATGGATTCCATCCGAAATAAATTTGGCTAATCGACTCTCACGAATCCCTCAAAAATGGTGCAGAACAGTGTGTGCAGTTGAATTACCTGAACAAAAAGACATATGGAAAATTCATTCGATTGGTCACTTTGGTGTTGATCGAACATTACAACTTTGCTTGCGAAATAACCACTATGTATCACGTAAGGAGGTTTCAGTAGTAATAGCAAATTGTAACCAGTGCAACTCCATCGATCCTTACTCCGTACAGTGGAAGCATGGTCAACTAAGCGTAGAAAAAAATTGGAATCGGGTTGCCATTGGCTTCACACATGTAGGTGCTGAACTGTACTTATCGATGATTGATTGTGGTCCATCACGATATACAATAAGGCGTAAACTAGTAGCTTAAACAGCTGCTGAAGTTGTTGGTAAACTTGAAGAAATATTCTCCTTATTTGGACCGCCTGTATGTCTTCTAATGGACAACGAATTTCGGTCCAACACGTTAACAAGCTTTGCTGAAGAATGGAATGTTAATTTGGAATATCGAGCAGCACATCGAGCTCAAGGTAGTGGTATAGTTGAACGCATACACAGGACAATAAAAAGAACAGTTGCTCGCTCACATTGTTCAATCGCTCTGGCAGTCTACAACGAGATAAAATCATCCGAATTTACTGAAAGTCCATCCGAGCAATTCAAGAAAAGTTTCATCCTAGGTATCGATATTCGGAAGAAAACAGACGAGAAAAGCGTAAATACAAAATTGAAAGAGGGAGACAAGGTGTGGGTAAAGCCAACTCAAGAAACAAAATGTGACCAACCGTGGATACCAGGTGAAGTGCGAAAGCAATATATATATATATATATATATATATATATATATATATATATATATATATATATATATATATATATATATATATATATATATATATATATATAATATATATATATATATATATATATATTTCAATGGCAACCCGATTCCAATTTTTTTCTACGCTTATTGGAAATGATTAAAAAAAAATTAAGTTTGAAAATAAAAGGATTTAAACTCACGCAAGCACTTCAACCACTTAAGCATCCTATTTAACTTTAAAAAAGGCATACAAATGCTTTATAAAAATTCTTATAAATCAAAATCAAGCAAATAATGCTGCAATAAAAAATTCAAGTAAAAGTAAATCTGTAACATTTGATATAATTTTTTAACAATTTACATAATTTGAAGTTTACGTCAGGTATTTGTATAGACTTTCGTTCACACAAATAAAATACAAATCATGACGTATTGTGGTTTTAAACAAATGCCTGACAGCTTTGTAAAATTAAAGATATTTTTATCAACACATTTATTAACAAATTAAAGATAGTAAAAATCTGTAAGAAAAGACATTTATTGCAAAAACAATATCACAAAATAACAAAAACATAAAAGCTGTTTATTATAATAATCGGTGCAAACAAATTTCGAAATTTGATAAAATAAAGTTATTCTTACCTTTATTGCGACAACAAATTTGCTTTTAAACTATTAGTTAATGATCAACTTAGCAATTTTGAATAATTAAAGTTTACTAAGTTAAAACCATATTTTATCAGCGGACAAAGTAACCGGTACAAAGTATACGGTAGTTAGTAGCTACAGGTCAGAAATTTAAGGTTTAAGTTTACTATCCGAGTACCTCAAAAATGTTAACAAATATAGCAAGTAGGGCATCTGGACACTTCATTTTTATATTTAGAAAAATCTGGGAGGTATCACATTTTTAGAAAATCTGCTAAAAAGTCATTATTTTAGAACTTGAAAAAACTAAATATATTGACGGAACAGTAAAATTAACATAAAACAACTTTATATTCCAAGTTTTTATGCTCTTAAATTTTGTATTTACACATCAACTTCATTAGACAGCTCTTAGATATATCTACGTTGGTGAAAAAGGTTTAGATATGCTTGAATTATATTAAGAACATAGTTTGCTTTGTAAAGTAGAACATATTGATAGTATATAAGTAATTTAGTAAATTATTAGTATTGTGTGCATAGTTGCCTAATAACCTAATATATATAAACAGTAATATAATAAACACTAAATAAAGTATTTCAAAAACTGTTTATACTAATATATTTTTAATGTCTTTTTGAATAAATTTACAAATTTTTTTAACTTAAGATTTCAATAATGTTTATGTTTTGATGTACAACTAATGTTAAATAACTTATAAATTATTTGAACTGAACACTTCAGCAATTCTCTTGCTTCTTTCTTTATGTTTGTTGCTGCACTGCGAGACTCCAAACCTGTTTATTACACTTTTTATCTTGAAATGGCAAGATTCAGATGTCTGCTCATTAAACTGCAAAAGGGAAAGGCCACTCAAATCAACAAATGTTTCCAGATGCGCTGTTACAGCATGTACTTTCTAAGTAACCGTGAGCTGTTTACCTAAAAACTAAAAAAGCTTACTATAAATATGTTTATCAATAACTTGGTTTTAAATTCAAAGGGTAAAGAAAACAACAATTACCTCTCTGCAATAGTCTTGCGCATCCTTATAGCTTTGTGTAAAACTTTCAATTAAAATTGAATAGTTTGGGTCAATTTTATAGCCAAAGACACCATGAACAACCTTGTTAAATTTTCTAATTATTTCTAATTCATGTTTGACTCAAACTTTACACCGCTTCTCCTCAAAGTTTTTAACATTTTACTTGACTTCAATCGACTTCAATTGGTATTTACCAAAACTTCTACTTCATTAAAAGGAATCTTTCTCTGGTCACTTTTCCGAGTACTGAGTGTAATATGAATACTTTTACTTCCTTAATATAATATAAACTGTTATTTTAAGAGCGAACATAAAAGCTATTTTTATTTAACAATATTTTACCTGTTCTGAGAATGGCTTGAGCTCCTAGACTTTGCTCTTGATCAGAATAAATTCTTTAAGAAAGGAAGAAGCTGAAAAAGTAAAAAAAAATATTTTTTTACTTTTTCAGAAATTTTAGAAATACTCTCAGAAAGATTTGTGCTACTCTTTAAATGGGGAACATTTGTGGGGTTTACCTTTAGCAATTTCACAAAAACATATTTAGCAAAGTTTCAGTGTTGAGCTAGTTCCTTTTTCATACTTTTATTTAATAATTTATTTCTTCCTTGACTGCATATACTGCATAATAACGAGCAATCTCTAGAGGTTTGAAAACTAGACAGATCAGAATTTTTCCATTTTAAAGTAACTGTGTCTGCAATAGTTTTACCAGCCTTACAGAGATATAAGTTTTTCTTGCAGCCTGAAGATAATCCTGTAGGGCAGGCAAATACTTTAGGTGAAAACTCAGACTTACCGAAAACTTAAACCAAACCTTCCAAGTTTTTATTAACTGGAATGCATTTGTTGTTCTTTTCAAGGCAGCAACAGCAAATGATCTTTTAAAAAAGTTTATGATTTCAATTAAAATGGTATTCTCTCTTTTCCTTAGAGAGCAGAGGAGCCATAGATTCAATATATATTAGGTATCTATAATAGAATTAAAATAAAAATGCATAGTCAAAAAGAAATATTTTTAATAAAAAATGTTTTTTTGATCAACTTTGTGTATTCTCATAATGTTTATGTATAAATATTAAATTAAAGACCTTGAAAAGTTGGTATATGAACATTTTTTTAAATAAACTTTAACATTCTGTCAGTATATTTAGTTTTTTTAAGTACGAAAATAATGACTCTTCATCAGGTTTTCAATGTCAATTTTCTAAAAATGTGATACTTCCCAGATATTTCTAAATATGAAAATGAGGTGTCCAGATGCCCCACTTACTATATTTGTTAACATTTTTGGGGTACTCGGATAGTAAACTTAAACCTTATATTTTTGACCTCTGTAGAGCACTTGAGTAGAACTAAAGAAATAAAATAAAAACTAATTTGCCTATATGATGGATATTATACTTATTGATTTCTCTTATTTTAATTACAATTTATTTCAGCTCGCCTGCACTCATCTCTTTCATTTCGACGGCGGTTTATCTCAGCTCGCCTAGCCCGGTTTCTCTCAGCTCGCCTAGCCCGGTTTTTTAATTTTGACGGTGTCTAATAATCTCATTTCTTAAATTATCAGACATGATTAGGCATCAAAGGAGTGTGTAAAAATGATGCCTAATATAATAAAATTTAAAGTTTGAGTTTTCTTTTTTAAACTTATTTAAAATAAAGTGTAAGCAAATAATATAAAGCATAATATAATAATCTTTTATATTCTACCTTATATAGCAAAGTGTTAAGATAACATACTTTTATTAAGAACTTAAACTAAAGTTATAAATAAATTAATATTATCTTTTTAACTGAAATTTGTTATATATTTAAGGTAGTTGTTATTAATTATTGACAAAATATTATCAGTATTTGTTCAAAAAAACAATAAAAAGTAATTTAAAAAAAAAAGTTTTACATATAAGAACTCGTAAATAAAGCAAATTAAAAAGGCCTGTTGGCTCAACATATACTGCATGGAATGAGAAAATGTAATCATTCATCATAAAAACCCTTTTAATACATTGAAACGCATTTAATGCAAAATTTGCAATAAACAAGTTATTGTAAAACTAATAAAAGAAAACCTCTATAAACAATCATATATTTGCTTCAAGTGAAGAAACTTGGAAATATTGAAACTTCTTTAACATTTTTTTTATATATATATTTAGTATTCTAAAGAAAAAAGGTCCATAATTTAATGCAGAAAAATTAAAATCATTATGCATGCGTACATCCCAGTGGGCACAGGACGTCTATGGACGTCCATAGGACGTACCGTTTAGGTCTGTTCGTCCAAGCCCAAAATGGGACGTCCAAAATAGTCGAAGTAATAATAAGTCCAAAATGGTAAGTCCTGAGACATCCACAGTACGTTCGCATCTAAAGGAGGTATGTTCTCTTCTCCGGGTTCTACTTTTACGCATGCGTGAATGTAAATTGTTTTAAACATGGTGCAAAAAAAATGTAGAGAGGTCAATTTTATCAACTAATTTAAGAACTTTAATTATGAATTCTATTAATTAATAGAATTCTTAATCTATTAATTAATCTTCTTCTGTTAACAGAAGAAGATTAACCGGATAATAAGTTTTTATATATGGTTTATTTAATTGTTTTCATTTATTCTTTATTTTTATATAATTGTATCGATGGACCTTCAATTGAAGGTCCATCGATGTATATATATATTATATATATATATATATATATATATATATATATATATATATATATATATATTTGTTATAGTATAAAGATATATTATATTTAATATATAGTTTTAAAATACATACTTTTTCATGTCTATAAGTGTTTTTTTGCAGTGTTTAAAAAAATTTATTGTTCTTTGGAAGTATCATTGAAGCTGGAATTTATGTGCTTCAATACTGATTTTGATATTGCATTAATTGCTTAAATGAATCTTACCACAACATTCTGAAATTTACGTCAACATTGCATGTTGGACGACAGTTTTTTTCCTGGAAAGTAATTTAATGAAATTGTTTGCAATAAACCACAAAAACTTAACTTTATAGATCTGAATGTTTATTGCTTTTTTAATTCAGAATTTTATTATTATTATTTTTTTGATAACTCCCTTCCCCAAGGCATTGATCATTAAAACGACAACATGTTTCTCCTACAAAAAGGTTAGTTTGATAAACTTATAAGTTATCATGAAAACATAAGTAATACAATAATTTATTTATTAAATAATAACTTATTCAGTTAGAAATTAAAAAAAATTAAGTTAAAATGAGTTTATTCTAAAATATAATGGCAATCCTTATTAAAGATTCTCTATGTAAAATATCTTCTAAATGTATATTTAGAGGATATTTTACATATGTTATAGTATATTTATTTTGGCATTTAGACAAAACAAATAGATAAAACATTTTAAGCATTGTTTGCGTATTTATGTCATAGTTTTTATTTATTTAGCAAGCGAATAACCCAGTGGCGGAATTTAAAAAGATCTATACAGAACCTTTCACAGTCAATTCAAACAAATAATAACATTGAGTCTGTTAATTGTAGCTCCTATAGTTCTTCCGCTTCTATGCTAAGCGGGGACGATTCTTCATACAAGACTTGTGCATCTCAAGATACTCTATTTACAGAATTAAATGATAACCAGGAAAAAGGTTTACATGATAATAATTGATAATGAATCATACAATGATACGGTACCATTAGAACCATTTAAAAATGAACTAAAGTGCTGGAGTTTAAAACATGGCTGCACCAGACAATGTGTAAACGACTTATTAAATATTTGATTCGAAATGGTCACAAGGAACTGCCAAAAGATGCAAGGTCACTTTTATGTACTCCAAAGGTTGTTTCAACTACTTCCATGCATGTTGAAGGAAAATATATATTTTGGTGTAAGGCAGGGCATTAAAAATATTTTGAAACACCATATCTTTAATGAAACTCAAATCAAATTACTATCAAACGTAGATGGGCTTCCTGTTTTTAAATCCAGTTCATATCAAATATGGCCTATACTGTGTCAATTTGGGCATTTCAAACCTTTTGTGGTTGCATTGTATGGTGGTGTAAAGAAGCCAATTGCATCTGAGTTCTTAAATGACTTTGCAAAAGAGCTACAAACCTTTGATAGTCCTATTGCAATATGTGGGAAAGAGTATAGTATTTCGGTATTTGCTATTTCATGCGATTCACCTGCTAGGTCACTTTTAAAGGGTACTGTTGAACATTCGGGATATTATTCATGCGAAAGATGCAATGAACTTGGTGTTTCAATAAGGAATTGTATTGTTTTTACCAATACAAAATTAAATATTTTACCCAGAACAAATACTGAATTGAAAGCTGGAATTTATTCTCAGGCTGATAGCTTTGGTCGGTGTCACCATCAGTCATTGACTCCTTTATATAACGTTCATAGTATTGATATGGTTTGTGATTTTCCTCTTGATTATATGCACTTAGTTTGTTTGGGAGCCATGCGTCGTATTCTTTATTATTTTAAAGGTGCATATAAAGGAATATTAAAAGGACGTTTGTCTGCTTCTTCTATTGGTCAAATTTCTTGCCGGCTTACTAATTTAAATGGCAAATTACCTACTGAATTTACACGTCAACCTAGGTCATTAATTGAGTTAAATAGATGGAAAGCTACAGAGTTTAGAATGTTTTTATTGTATGTTGGAATTGTTGCTTTAAAGGGTATTCTTGATCATTAGGCGTACAAACATTTCTTGAGTTTAGTATTATCCATCCCTATGCTATGTGAAGACAATAATGAGACAAGAAGGATATTTTTAAGTTCCGCAAGACAACTTCTACTTTACTTTGTCTCAAATTGTCATGAACATTATGGGGACACTTTTTGTGTACACAATATTCACAGTCTCATTCATATTGCTGATGATGTGGAACATTTTGATGCACCTTTAGATTTTTTTTCCTGTTTTCAGTTTGAAAATCATTTACAAATGCTTAAACAATTAGTTAGAGGACGAAATAATCCTCTTATAGAAATCTCCAAACGTCTCAGTAAATCAAAGGGCAGTTTTTTGTGTCAAGAAAAAACTGTTACAAAAATTGACACATCTAAAAAATTTTGCTTTTTGACCAAAAGTCAAGTAATTTTTGTAAAAGAAATTTTAGTTAATGGTAATATAGTTTGTGATGTTTTAGAAAAGGAAAAATTGGACAATTTTTTTGACGATTTTGTCGAGTCTAAGACTCTTAATATTTATTGTATTAGAGCAAACCATGTTTGTATGAGTCGTCAAATCAGCAAAGACAGATTATTGCGGAAATGTTTGTGTTTACCATTTAAAAATGACCATATAGTTATCTCATTATTGAATGATGTTAAATTTTAATGTTATACTTGTAATTAAATAAATTAGTTTATAGCCATGAATTGTGTACTTTCTTCTAAATTTTGGAACCATTTAATTCTCAGAACTATATTGATCTGATATAACTGTTATAAATATTTTTGTTATACAGTTTTTAAGTATACAGTTTTTGCATAAGAAAAGTTAGTAATTTTTTTTGTCTTGTTGTGCCTATGAATTGTGTTCCCTGTAGAAAATTCAACTTTATTTTATTTCAGATTGTTCAGCACAATTGTTATTGAAGAAGATGGAGCAGATACAAAAACTGCTGTGCCTTCTCATTGGGTTGACCCATGTAAAAGTATTGTGTTTTATCCAACACGAGGACGGAAATCTGTTGCTGTTTATCTATCTGAATGAGCAGAACATGAGGTAGGCTGGCAAGAGTTTAAACTGATAGAATATATTCTTGAAGCTGGCAGCTATGAAACTTGCCACGCAATGTTAATGTTTCAAACAGAAGATGAGGATGATGATGTACCTAGTAAGTTGTTAATGGTTTAATCAATAGTACAGTCTAGAACTGACATATTGATATATATATATATATATATATATATATATATATATATATATATATATATATATATAATATATATATATATATATATATATATATATATATATATATATATATATATATATATATATATATATTTACAGTGAATGTAGGTTAATAATTTTTAATTTATTAGTTTCGAAAAAGTTTGAAATAATTGTTAAAGAAAGAGTTGCTAGTCCAAAACTTAAGATTGGTGGAATAAAAACAAAATTTCAATATTTAGACGAACATGATGACGTTCCTAGTAAGTTGTTTATAATTAACTGTGTCTATAATAATATAATTAATTTAATACAGCATATTTATATATACATAGTCATCTAGGTTAATAAATTTTCTTTTATTAGTTTCGAAAAAGTTTGAAATTATCGATAAAGAAAGACTGGCTAGTCCAAAACATAAGCTTGGGGGAATCAAAACAGAATTTCAATATTTAGACGAACATGATGACGTTCATAGTAAGTTGTTTATAATTAACTTTGTCTATGATATAATTAATGTAATACAGCCAAGAAATATATATATATATATATATATATATATATATATATATATATATTAATATATATATATATATATATATATATATATATATATATATATATATATATATATATATTCACTCAATCAATCAATCAATCAATATATTTTTCTGAAATATTTGGTATTACATTTCAAGGATGCTTACAAATAGTATAAACTACTAATATTAAGTAAACACCTAATAACAATGATTAAAATAGTTATAGTAATAATAATAACAAAAATATTTATAATAAAATAATTATAAATAATAATAATAATAATAACAATAATAATAATAATAATAAATAATAATAAATAATAATAATTTATTATAAATAATAATAATAAATAATAATAATAATATTATTACCATGTTACTTTAAAAATATTAATATTAATAATATAGTAATTAATATAAGTAATATAGCAATTTAAATAAATCGGTATAATTTTCTATACAACAATCGCTTATACATACAAAGTTACAGTTACAAACAGTAATAAACTGACTAAACGTAACAACTAACGATGACATAAAAACAACTATTGTTAAAAAAACTATAATGATTTAGTGAATATATTAATATTAGCTCTTATAATATCATAACCAAAATATATTGCAAATAATAAATAAGTAAAAATGTAACCAGAAACTAATTAAATAAAATGTAAACAGAAAAACACTTAAAATATCAAAACAAAACAAAAGATACAAACATTACGAACAAAACAGAAAATTACGTTAAATATTTTTGACAACAAAAAAAAATAAA